GTTTGCATGTAATAAAAAATAGTAATCCCTTGTTGAGTGGTTTTCATTAAAGTCGATAGAAAACATAGAATGTGAGTGTGAGAGCGATTGATAAAGGTGATTTATAATTTTGACCATAGTTATATTGTAGTGTTATAAGATGAAATCGATGATGCTATGGAGCTAATGATTGAAGTTTGGATATATTGTAGAATAAGATGATCTTAACATAACCATAACATGTGATTAGGATTTATCATTAAGTTTATTTCTCTTGGTATTTGAATCTTTTCGGGTGGAGAAAGAAGAGATCTATCGATGTAGCCCACTAAATTATATCTAAATAGAAGATTGGTGGATTTGAGCATGATAGATTATGAAAAACTATTATTTTCAGATAAAATAACAATCGAAGCACCTTGAGAAAAAAGATATGTTGATAATAAGTGTTGTCTAAGAAAGAGACGTGATTAGAACTGTAGAAGTAATCACAAGAGATACTATAAGTTGTTAATGCTATTATTGAAAAAAGATGACTTCGTTGCACTACATTTAGTGTTGTGACAATTACAGTTGTTGATCCTAGGTAGCAATTGGAGGATGACACTGATTATATCTAATCAAATCTAGAGTAGATCATATCTGCATTAGATCAAGCAAATCTAATCTGATGAAGTCGCCTTTGATGTCTTTCTTTAATAAGATCCAACCAAATATGTAACTGATATGATAAGCATGGACAATTTAGGAAGTTCTTATCCACTTTTGTTTTCGTGCCTGATGTAGTAGATCAGATGATTTGAAACAAAGTTGATCAGAGGGTGCAGCCTGTCTATGTTGTTGTAGTAGCTACTAAGTAGCAAAGAGTACGAAGAAAAGGTGGGATCACATGCAAGTGTAGCCCTTTAGTATAACAATGTTCTACTAGCCTAAGATCAAACCAAATAAAAAAAAAATAAGATGAAAAAAAAATTATATTGAGTTTCTATAAAAAGAAAAATAATCTTGAAGAACTCTTAGATTTTAGCTTTATAAACTTGAATACTTAGGCTTGGATCTACATATGTATATATTAAAATACAAAAGTTCCTAATATCTGTGAGTCTATTTAATCTTAGCTAAAAGATAAGACATCAATTTGAAAATTTTCAAAATATATTTTAACATTTTAAACTAAGAATTCTTTATCCCTATAATTCTATCTAATTTTATTTAAAATATAAAATATTAATTTTTGATGTTCCAAAAATATACTCTAACTTTTTAATAGAGAAATCATTGGTAGGGAGGAGGCTCTACTTTTCTAACAGATTGTAGATCAGTAGGGAAAGCACAAATTGAGAGGAGGTATCGGTGAGTAAGAGAAATTTTTTATTAGAGTCGAACAGAAAAAAGAAGATGATGTCATAGTTGCATGTGTAAATCCAAGAAATAGTTTTCGATAAGAAAATGAAGCTTGATCCCTAGCATTGTGCTAGAATGATATGTTGTTTGTGAAGCAAAGCATAGATTTGCTTACTAGAAGAAGCCCACGGTGGTAGACTTTGATGTCCCAAAACAATAAAGGAGGAAGAAATTACTTCCCCAATAGAGGAAATAGAGGAACGAGCAATGCTAAGATAACTCCGTTGAAGAATAAGAGAAAGAGGAAATCTTACTTAAAAATAAGAAGGCTTTAATACCACAAAGAATATCATGATAATCTCAAGGTAATTTAATTTATACAGATTTGAGGAAGAAATTTTTTTCAATTATATGCTCAAATCATGCACATATATCATAGTGATTAATTCTCAAATCATATAGATTGATTGAGGATCAAAATACATAATAAATATAAAATTATCATTCTATATTTATCTTTAATCCGTCGAACTTTTATTTTTTTTAAATTGCATGTTAGAGAGCATCAACAGCATTGCTATCAAAATTTAATCCGAAAACGAACTGCAAATTAACTTAACTATGAGGAATCCAACAGCCAGTGGAGTTGGAATATCCCACTGGTCTCGCCACAAGCATCTTCCATGATGCCACACCGAGAACACGAATTGCAAGTTCGGATATCTTGCATTCTTTGAACTCGGTGAGGAGGGCAGAGTGTACAGAAGATTTGGGACGTCGATGTCGACGTCGAGCCCATGCTGTGGCTGAGCAAGACGATGGATTTGCATCGACGTCTGCGCGTAGCCATTCACCAAATGAGTCGAGTAGATCTTGGCCCTATTTTAGCGGTGTCAGCATCCGTGAGAGTGACTTGGCTTGGTGGCATCCCATGATTTCCCAATCTTCGGAGCAAGACGCCTTTGCTCCGACCTCTGTCAGCATGGGCTCCTCCTCTTTATCCAAGTGCCTTTGGGTCCCCATCGAGCTTTGCTTGGTTCGTCGGAGGTACATGCTAATATAGAAGCACTAGAACAACACCACTTAAGCCACGAGTGTGGACGGGCGTCCAAAAGTGTGATGTACACGAGCCGATTGTGACTCGAGTTGTGACATGACTCGGTTCTCACTTACAAAAAATTGCACATTAAATCAAATTGCTTCTCTAATAAATCCAAAACAAATTGAGTCAAGATATTGTTTCGTGTAAATATATTCAATATGCTCTTACGAAATCTCTGGTGATGTCATGGGAAAGCCACAAATAGATTCAAATGTTTCTATTTATAAGAAATTGAATGTAGCCGTGTCAGCATTTTGTACGCTATTTAATATAATTTAATTTTTTTTATAAAAAAATAAATATAAATAAAATATAACGATTATAATTGAATAATTGTATTCATAGTATGATTTACACTTTGGTTTATTGAAAAGAGTGAAATAATGAATTATCAAAATTTTCTTTTATTTCATAAATAATTATTTTTTTAACCTATGCCAATTTGATTTTGTTTTAAATATTTAGACCAAATATTCTTATGGCGAAAAAGAATGTTTCAATGGGTTGATTCTTCCGTACCTCTCTCACCATTAAATTGTTCCAAATTCTCTCCAAAACACAAAGAATATTAAAAATCTAAAAAAAATTAACAGTTGGAAGGAACATATTCTACGTAGAATTCAAAAACCAGATATAGGTGTTCAGAATAACGACGCATCCTAAGAAAGATATGGATGGAACCAATTCCATTGGGTGTTTCCAAATTGGTAAAACGCATTGAGAATTACCGGAAAACAATAATAATAAGAAGTAATCATTGACGTGATTTATATTAAATTATTATGAATTTTATTTATTTTAATTTTAAGGCAACAGGTATTTCTTTGTGTTGTATTATATATAAGCCATAATGACTTATAGCGAAGCTAAAGAAGGATTATAGTAACAACAATGATCCAAGTACATAAAATTAATAAGCCATGTATTATTAAGTTCATTTATGTGAAGCACTAACGAGTCTTGCAAGACAATAAATCGCGGAGGCTTTTGTCAATACATAGAGATAGTCCAAATCTATAATTTTATCCTTGTAAGAAAATTTATTTGTATTCGAACCTTAGCACCAAAATGCGAAACTATGTTAATTTTATAGGTTATTTCTGCAATATTCGTTGGTTGAATGGATGCAAGATTTAATACAAAAAGAAAAATTCAAAGATTAATTTATCTTTGTATAATATATATTTAAAATATATATATAATATAATATGTAAAAAAGTTAGGTTATCAATGGACTGATATTATAACACCTCAAATTAATCCAATATAAGAAGATTAAGATTAACTTATGAAGATATGAGTGTACTATTATTAATTTTAGTTTAAATATTTTGATCAGTCGTTTAGACCAAACGAAATTAATAGATCAATTAACCCATTGTGACAAATATATTTTTGAAAAATAATTTATAATATGAATGTATAATTTTATTTTTTCTATAATATAACGAAACTCATAACCTGCACAGGATTCCAAGTAGAATTTTTGACATCTATATAGAGATATAATCTACACACATCAAATATTTATAGTAAAAAACTGCTGATTAAAGGTAAACACCTCCTCAAGTAAAGCAAAATGCTTACATTTAACTCTGAAAGAAATGCATGGAACTATGAGTTAATAGTCCAAAGCAAGATATTCTAATGCTGTTACCGGTCACCTTGGAAAAGAAGGATAAATAAATCAGTAAAGAGTATTTATGTGCAAAAGCCATGACTTTTTAGAGGGAGGGGAGGAAGAAATGCAGTTCCTAAGCATGCCATCACATTTAGAACAATGGCATGCCATCATTTAGTATAGCATGCCAAAGCATTCCCACTTCTGTTCCATATGCCATGTATGAAAGCCCACTGAGCCTTGATCCAATAATTCAAGTGTAGATGCACATCCAAAGCAGATTAAGAAACAAAAGGGAAGTGTTGTTAGACTGGCTTGGGCATGGGCAAGACCAAATCAATTGGATGGGAGAAGAGATTTAGTAAGGACTAGTACTAGAGAAGGTGGGTGTGAACTGTACACATATAACACCTTTTAATTTTAATTTATTTTTTTTACTTAATGGATGTGATTGGCACTTTACATGAACTGTGCCAAGAATACATCTATCAGCCTTTCCATGGATATCTAATCAACTGCATGCAGTGAACACAATATTTAAGTTAAAAATGTTCCTTATCTTAACATTGTTTTCTTCTTTTTTAGACTTCTTTTTGAGGTTTGAGTGGAAGCACAGATGCTTTCAGCATGGCCCTTTTGTTTACCAAATTGGTTTTTGTCAAAGAACAGAATATGAAAGTGAGTATCAAAATCCATGGTCATAACTTATCTTTTGAAAATTCTCAAGATCTTTTTCACTTCTTTATTGAATTTTTACTCCTGCTTCTTATTCCTCAAGCATTTTAAGTGGCTTGCAGCAGGAGGATCCTTCCTTGCAGATAACTCTTCTACTCTTTTAGCCAAATTGCATTGAAGCATGCAACTCTTCTACACATTGCATTTTCTAGTTAAAGGAATCAACCACTGGGGTTTATATAAAGAGAACCACTGACGGTCTCAGTGGCCATAACACCTCCCCGTCTACCTCCTTGGCCGCATCCCCTCTTTCTCTCTTTAAGGCTTTGAAGATGGTGTTCATGGCGCTCATGATACTGATACCGGGCGCGGTCGTTCTGTCCTTGTTGCTGAGAGCAGTATGGATCACCATCTCTTGCTACTACTTGACTCCCAAGCGCATCAGGAGAGCGATGGCGGAGCAAGGAGTTCACGGCCCCGACCCACGCTTCCTTGTCGGAAATCTAAAAGACATAGCCGTCCTCGTCAAGAAGACTACCTCCGATGACATGGAGGTGATAGGTCACGACATCGTCGGCCGCCTCATGCCCCATTACGTCCTCTGGTCCAAAATCTACGGTGCGTAGCTCTCTTTGTTTTGTGCTTGAACTCATTTCATGCACGCAAAGTTTCACCAGCATCTTCTCTAACCGAAGTTTTTCTTGATTTAGGCAAGAGGTTCATGTACTGGTACGGCAGCGAGCCGAGGTTGTGCTTGACGGAGACCAACATGATCAAGGAGCTCCTCTCATCCAAATATGCGCAGATCACCGGCAGGTCTTGGCTCCAACAGCAAGGATCCAATCACTTCGTAGGGCAGGGCTTGTTGATGGCTAATGGCCACAGCTGGTTCCACCAGCGCCGCATCGTGTCTCCGGCATTCATGGCAGACAGATTGAAAGTACGCGATCCCCTGTGTGTCATCTCGTTTTCGTTATTTGAACGGGTCAATCTTCTTTTTGTACCAACTCGACTTACCGCTACTTGACTATAATGTCATCACCCAGAGCCATGCCGGTTACATGGTGACCTGCACGAAGACAATGATCAAATCCATGCATGATGCCATCGCGACCGGCGACGACGAGGTGGAGATCGGAGGCTACTTGACTCGCCTTACCGGAGATATAATATCCCGGACCGAGTTCGATAGCAGCTACGAGAAAGGCAGGCAGATTTTCCAGCTTCTTGAGAGATTGCAGAGCCTCACTGCTCTATCGAGCCGCTACTTGTGGATTCCAGGCAGCAGGTGACTCAGATATTACCAACTTATTCAAAGAATGAATGGTTTCGCATCCACGTGCGATCTTCTTCTTCTTCTTCTTCTTCTTCTTTCATCATCTTCTTCTTTTCTTACTTAATATTCCCTCCATCCCTGGCATGTCCACAGCTGTCGGTTGGTTTTCGACATGAGCACAGATTTCGAGGCCTGCATGATTCGAACAACTGGCCTCTTCGTGTTGTGGAATCACCATATTGTTAATTCAATTGGATTTGTTCTTGTCCGCACATTGACTGATTGCACATCTAATTTTTTGTGTTGCAGGTTCCTTCCCAGTAGGTTCCGGAGGGAGATCAAACAGATGAAGGTAAGAGTGGAGAGGCTGCTGATGGAGATCATACAGAGCAGCAAAGATGGAGTCGAGATAGGGAGGAGTTCATCGTACGGTAGAGGCCTTCTGGGTATGCTGCTGTCCGAGGCCCAGAAGAAGAGGGAGGGATTTAGCTACAGCCTCCCGCTGGTGATGGACGAGTGCAAGACCTTCTTCTTCGCGGGGCACGAGACCTCGGCGCTGCTCCTCACATGGACTGTCATGCTCCTCGCCACGAACCCGACATGGCAAGAGCGAGCGCGTGCAGAGGTTGCGCAAGTTTGTGGGGACGACCCACCCTCATCGGAGCATCTCCCAAAGCTCACACTGGTAAGCAATTCCACATCCAGGCATGACCAAGAAAAAGCAATTCACATATAAAATATCAGATGAAGTCCATCCGATGACTCATAATGATGATAACGAGATCCGGCCAATCATATAATGATCATCACGTAGCTGCGGCCACCGAATTTAACTGCAATGAATTCCACCTTAATCATCACGTAGAGCATAAAGTATTCGTTGATATGGGATCAGAGGACTTGTGGCCGCACAACAGTTTGACCAGAGGACCACTATAGCTGTGTCAATGACGACTCGCAACGATGCATACCCGTCTGCTTTATGTTTATAACTACGTTGCATGATCTTTGTTCTTTGCAGTTAACTATGATCATTAACGAGTCATTGAGGCTGTACCCTCCTGCAACCCTTCTACCGAGGATGGCGTTCGAGGATATAAGGCTGGGGGACCTTCACATTCCCAAGGGACTGTCCATTTGGATCCCGGTGCTGGCGATCCACCACGACGCGACAATCTGGGGCGAGGATGTGCATGAGTTCAACCCAGAGAGGTTCGCCGGTAGATCCTTTGCTCTGACTCGCCACTTCCTGCCGTTCGCCTCCGGACCTCGCAACTGCGTCGGGCAGGCCTACGCCATGATGGAAGCTAAGATCATCCTGGCCATGCTTCTCTCCAGCTTCAGCTTCGCCATCTCCAATAATTACCGGCACGCTCCGATCAACGTCCTCACCTTGAAGCCAAAGTATGGCGTCCCCGTCCACTTGAGACCCCTCAGGCACTGATCTTCCTACCGAGACATCCCTTTTCCGTTTTCTTCCAACGAGAGTCGTATTAAGGACTTCGAGGGACATGCTTTTTGAGGAGGACCAGAAGATGAGAAGAATATGATGCAAAAATAATGTGCCAAGCATTCTGAATGCCCAGTCGCCTTCAGTAAGTCGCTGAAGGCCGCAGGCACAGGTTTTTCATGCTACTGAGCGTGACCAAGTGTATCATAAGGCAAATTGCAATGTACTGGATATGCTTCTTATAGTTTTTTAAGGAAAGGTATGTGGATGGATATGATTCATTGGTGTCCGATGAGAACTTTGGCAGGTTGGCCTACCTCTCAAAAGGAGACGGGAATGTGAAACGCCATTGATTGTTGCAAAGCAAGTGCAGCAACTAGTTGACAAGTTCCCCCATGTATGTGAGAGAATTTGATTCATGTTGTTAGCCCCTCTCATTATGCTTAGCTTTGAACTGGGAAGGTAGAAAGCATCAGGGGGCCCATCTCTTTAAGCTAAGATGCCCACTATCACCAAGTAGCTAATGATTTCATGAGCAAAATAAAATTCTTGGTCCTAAAAAGATTGTCTTCTCGGTTGATGAACAAACTAGTGTCTTGAGAGAGTATGTATGATATTGACCCTCCAATATGTAGAACCGAGAAAAACCAACTCTAGGAAAGCTAAATGACCGAATGAGAACTAAGCTTACGCGAGCTGAGCTCTACAACTCCAGCTGACAAGCAGCAAGAAACTCATCGGCTTAGTTGGTTTACAGCTGCTGATCCTTCAACTTCAAAACAAGCTGAGGGCTTGTGCGGGAACCTAATCTGAATCGATTGTTCATTCAATAACAGGAGCACGTGTCTTCCTAACGAGCTTGCTTTAAGTTAATGGGCAGTTGGTGGACTCCGAAGTGCTTTGTTTCAAGGATTAAATTAAGCTATCACTCGAATTACTTTATATCAGAGAGCAATGTCCTTAGATGCAATGAAGAGTGGATAAACCCTAAAGGTTCGTAAAGGAGCAACTAAGCAGCATCTGAGGCTTCTCATGTGCCATCCCATGATATTTCTGTAGCTTAAAGTTTAATGTGAAGTGCTGCTCAACTTGATTTAAAGCTTGCCAACTTTCCTCTCTACCATTTTCTAGCTTTCTGCTTGTCGTTGTCTGTCATGACTCATTCCACCATTTTCTCAATCCATTTGTTACTATAAAAAACTTCTCCTTCCTACATAATGTGGTACACATCCAATCAAAACCGATTCTTATTTAGGACGCCATTTAGCTTGCATGAAACTAAGCTCATCAAGATTTCAAGTCGTCTCGACCTTGGATTTTTCCCAGGATTGAAACTCGGTTAAACTCTAGTTGGACTCAGTGAATTGTTGATGCTTGGTTAACTCAGATTCGCTAAAGATTTGTGTGCCAAACAACAAAGATAATGTGCTGAAATAGTATACGAAAAGAGGAGCAATTTTAACTGACTCCAATAAGTTTGGATATCAAACAGCCCCATCCTCTTCTTTCGTTGCTTTCGACCGAACTTTCCTCTCCTTTTCACTGTCACAATAGTCTCAGTGCTCCGCTTGCCTTCTTAGATTGCCGCACTCACGATGAGCTTCGCCGTCGTCCGCGCACTCATCGCCTGTTGCGGGGTCGCCCGCTGAACTGCTCGAGCACCATGTCATTTTTTACGCTACATGATCTCCTGCATCCACCACGATAGGAAGATAGATAGATCGGCTAGTGCTGAGACTTGGCATTGGTGGTAAGTTCCCCATCGAGGCTTTCTCGCGCAGGCCATAGCACCATCTCGGGTTTAAGAGAACAGGTAAGCGGCGGCCTGTGCATGTAAAGAGTCAATGTTCTCCCCATGGCCCCTTCCGTCACCATAGAGGCAGCAGCTATGTCCCTAACATGGAAGTTAGATTTTAGGTATGCTGACGACGTTGATTAACCCGTACATGTCATACGAATTTAGATGATTGTTTAACTTCTTAGACTGGTCGTGATAATTAATTAGTGGCAACTCTGTTCGCATCGGGAAGTGTGTATATCTTTATAGATAGCCACAACGACTGCATCGTGTAGATGTTCATGCATCGAGTGGGTATCCGATAAGTCACATTAAAGAAAGATTTAGATCCTCTCGATATTATATATAGCTGCAAAGCAAAGCTAAAGTTCATCCGCAACGTTTGTTTTTAAGCAAGACCTCATAGTTGGACATTCCAAGCCTCGTTAAGACTTTCTGTGGGCGTCCGTTTAATAACTTGATACTCTTGTGAGAAAAAAAATCAGAAATAACTAATGTTAATTAATAATTTAAGTTTTACTATAATCTAAATTATAGCAATCTAATTTAATTGTTGATTCATTCAATTATGATTTACAATCTAAATTATTTGAAATAATATATTTCTATAATTGAGTTCGTAAATAATTCATAAAAGATATGGTGATATATGAGTGAACATAATTATTGATATTCTTATTTATATACTTAAAAAAATATTTATTTTTATTATCCTATTCACATTATGTACATATTGAATGTGATAGTGGGATTAATTTGACAATACAAATTATGAGGTCATTTTGAACTACAAGGGATAACAATGTTGTTGTGGTATATTAAAGGAAATATGATATTAATGATATACAACTGTTATGACTCGTATTACTAGTTAGACTTAATATAGAGTATTATTATATTTATTAGACTTATTGATCTATTTTTTTATTCATGTGTATTTGAATGATTTTTAAAATTTAAAATCTAATTGGGTAATATTATAGTTATATAAATTTTATTTTTTTATTTTTTATTTTGAATATATCTTACTAATTACTTGGCTAAGTAGAAGAATGTTAGATTATATAGCTTTAAATAGTTAGGTAAGATATATTATGAATATTATTGGATTATAATTATGGTTATCGACTAATAAAAAAATTAATTATGATATATAAATATACGAAATATATAGATGTGTTGATATGCGATATTATTAAAATATTACATATCTTATCTCATCTCTCATTGCTCATGTGAATCATGAGATATTATAGATCTTTTTTCATATTTCTTTTGTCTCTAAATTCATCGTGATCTTATAAAAGATAGAAAAAAAAAAGGAGATAGTAAATCTAATTTTTCTTACAAATCATGAGATATTAACGATGGTACATTCGTAAATTAGATAAAGAATTTCTGAATAATATCAAAAGTTATATTTATAAATTTAAATATATTATTATTTTATTTTAGATTTCAATACTAAATGACATTGATTAACCCGTACATGTCATACTAATTTAGATGATAATTCATCTTCTTATCTTAGACTGACCATGCTGATTAATTAGTGGCAAGCTATGTTCACATGGGAAGTGTGTCTATCTCTTTATAGATAGACACAACGGCTGCGTCATGTACATGTCATGCATCCAGTGGGTATCCAATTAGTCACATTAAAGAAAGATTTAGCTCCTCTCGATATTATATAGCTGCAAAGCAAAGCTAAAGTTAATCTGCAACGTGGTTTTTAAGCAAGTCCCGTTAGAAAATAAATAGATAAACAAGTTGTACAAGAAGTTGATTGTTATTAACATATCCCCCTTCTTCTTTTATACATGTTAGAAGGGAGAATTTTCCTCAACAGATTAGAGGATTTCCCTCAACAAAGCAGAGAGATTTCCTCAAACAGTTAGGAAAATCTCATCTACTTATTATGCCGATGGTGCTCCAATCAAGGAGGCCAATCTTGGACTGATGTAATGCAAAAAGTTTACGAGCTAGAGGCTTCGTAAATGAGTCGGCCAATTGATCAGCCGTATGAACATGAGAAACATGAAGTTGACGGCGGACAACTTGATCGCGTACAAAATGGAAGTCGATAGCAATATGTTTCATACGAGAGTGGAAGACCGGATTAGCGCACAGATAGGTAGCTCCAATATTATCACAATATATTGTAGGGGTGGAATCGATGTTGAGTTCCTGGAGTAGATTCGTGATCCAATTGAGTTTTGTAGTGGTAGCGACAATGGCACAATATTCAGCTTCAGTTGTAGACCGGGCAACTGTCTTTTGCTTCTTAGAACTCCAACTGATTGGATGAGCACCAAGGAAGATAATATACCCAGATATGGATGTTCTATCATCAAGGTTACCTGCCCAATCAGCATCGGCAAAGGCATGAAGACGAAGTGGAGAGTTTTTACGAAAAAAGAGTCCATGATTTAGGGTCCCTTTAAGATATCGTAGAAGTCTCTTGACCGCAGACCAGTGTAGAGTAGATGGTTGCTGCATAAACTGTGATAATTTGTTGACAGCAAATGAGATGTCTGGACGCGTGAGAGCTAAGTATTGTAAAGAGCCAACAACTTGGCGGTATTGAGTGGGTTCCGTAGTAGGACTTCCATCCGATAATTTGAGAGAACCACTAGTAGAGATGGGGGTTGTAACTGCATTTGCATCCCACATGTTTGTCTTTAATAACAAATCTTGAATGTACTTGTGTTGTGATAAAAGGAGACCGGAAGAAGTGAAGGTAGCTTCGACGCCCAGAAAGTAGCTCAAGGGTCCAAGATCCTTAAGCGAGAATTGAGCTGCCAACTATTTGATGAACGCTTGGATGCTGATGGGATTGTTGCCTGTGACAATAATATCATCCACATATACCAGAATATATATTGTGTTTCCATGATGATGTCGCAGAAACAACGAAGTGTCAGATTTGGAGTTGAGAAAGCCGACAGAAGTAAAAAATGAGCTAAGTTTAGTGTACCAAGCTCTCGGAGCCTGACGAAGTCCATAAATGGCTTTCCGAAGTTTGCAAACATGCTGTGGATACTGAGGATGAGTAAAACCGGGGGGTTGTTGCATAAAAACATCTTCGGATAGAGATCCCTGTAGAAAGGCATTATTAACATCCAATTGTCGTAATTGCCAGCCTTTAGTGGTAGCCAGACTCAAGATAAGCCGGATTGTAGTGGGTTTAACAACAGGACTAAACGTCTCAGTGAAATCAACTCCAGGTCATTGATGAAACCCTTTGGCGACCAGGCGTGCCTTATATCGGGCAACAGAGCCAACTGGGTTCCGCTTAATTCTAAAGACCCACTTACACCCGATGATGTTTTGTGAATGATGGAAAGGAATGAGATCCCACGTTGAATTATGGAGGAGGGCATTATATTCCTCACTCATGGCAGTACGCCAATGCAGAGATTTTTGGGCTTGAGTGAAGGTGGTGGGTTCAACGTTGGGGGATGAGGAATTCATGA